GGCTTCTCCTCAGTCTGAGTATACTCATGTGAAAAGATGCTGACTCTTTGCATGTTTAAGTCTGTATGCCTAAATCGACTTTCTGATCCAAACCTGGTGACGTCTTTACACCTCATCATTTAGTTTTGTAATGTCATTAAACTTTGTAGGGATTCAAAATAACCCACTTGTAATAACGTTATTTATTCTCTTCGAACCTATACCAAGTTATTTTCTTACTTTTTAATTTGTTTGAATGACGCAGGCTAATAACCATGCACAGTCACAGGGGAAGGGGGCGGCGCTACACCGGAAAAAAATTAAAGAAATGAAAATACCACTAATCTGCGTCATTCAAACAAAATTAAAAAAGCCTTAGAAATGCTTCGAAAACACAAATTTTCTTAACATCATTCATTTAACATTAGGTACATAACTATATAATAAGCCATTACACGGGCAAAACAGTCGAGTAAGACAAGTTTCGAATGAAAATATCATGGGAGGAAGTAAAGCAATTTTAGTACTCTTATGTTTCTTGAGTGGAGTCGAGTAAGTTGTGACCTTTCTGTCTATAGTTCTTTTGCATAGCGTTATCTCTTGCTAGGAGATGCCATTCTGCCGAAACTTCAGTTAGTAATACAGCTGCATGTTTTCCGGAAACATGTAAAACAGCAACAGGTGGATGTTCAACTAATGTTGATTGTTACTGTTTGTCTTTAACGACGAGCAGTGCTACAACTGGTATCTGTGCTGCCTTAGTCCTCTCATGTACAAGTGTCGTCCGATGTAATTCAGATAATGGTAGCTGTTCTGTTCCTAATACTGTATGTGTTAACAATACACGATGTGCTCGTCAACACGGTGGTCCAGTTTGTTACCCATTAGCTTTAGCTGATAAACAAATATGTCCCCCTTCGTTAATAACTACAACAGGTCTGCCTTTCGATGTGTTCTAAGGTCAGAGAGTAAACTGACCTTATATTTTCAGTTGCTCCTGTTTCCTGTCCAAAAGGTGAATTTTCTGTCATCTCAGCAGAATTCAATCAACAGTTTGAGTTTAAAAATTTAAGTCCAAATTCCTGTCCCTCATGTCTCAATGTCACAGTGAATAACAATGCAGGAATCTACAATATCTGTTCATCCAATGGTGAAATGAATGTCTTTGCAAATGCAAACGGTGTAATTTCAGTGCAACCACAACGGTTGTCGTCGGTATGTCCAAGAATTGTTAATATTAATGCCACCGGTATGATGGTAGTACGAAATCGAGCGCACTTTATCTCATACTTTGTTTATTACAGGCAATGCACGTGTATACAACGTCTGTGTAACAGACCAACTGAGTATTCTTCAGGCTAACGGAAACAATATAATCACGATGCAAGAGAACCAACCGACTTGTCCAAGAATTGTTAATATAACTGTTTCAGGTAACACACGTGTTTATAACATTTGTGTAACAGATGAATTGATTGTTGTGACAGCTACTGGTAATAATGTGGTGTCGATGGATTATAACGGTGTAACAGTTTGTCCAAAAGTTGTAAATATTTTGAATGGAGGTGGCAATGCAGTGTTCTATGTTTGTGCAACACAAGCCATCAATGCCAAATTGAGTGCTATAGCAAAGTTATACTACAAAGGACCGTTAAATCATACGGAATTGACGGGGTTGGCATCAGTAGCGCAATGGCGTTAGGATACAAATCAGAGCTGTTATGAGCACAGACGTTTGCAAGCTATTCTTTTATTCAGCTTTTTTTCGAATTTTTTGGTCGTAACGCTCTTTATAGCTTTTAAAGGACAGGGCTGATTATTTGATGGAATCGGCCCCTGCTTGAAATCCATCGACACATACATGGTTACATGCAGAATGAACAGGAGAAGATTTCTAGGCACTCGGCAGACCTTAAAATTGCTCTCAGAAAAAGTTGGGTCCAATTAACTGTAATCAAAGTTCTGCTCCGTTTGATACGCATTATCGATCACATTTTCGAGTGTGTCTCTCTCGGCTTGATACCTTACTAGAATTATTATATGTCATCCGAAAGCTCTTTTTCTGCACTATATGTCTGTATAATACGTACAGAAACACGTATACAGAAATAGTCGTTCTGAGACCAAGTATGTTTAGAAATACTTCCCGCTATGGGAAATAATCTTCTACGGGCAAAAAGACTAAGATAATCTATGACACGCTTTATCATCAACACGATAAATATACCATTCGATAGAGAATTTCTCGCGCTACAAATTCATAGTGAAAAAGATATCCTAGGGAACCTTGAGATTAGAAATACTTTCAGCAAAACCGTGATAATTGGGCGATTAGTTCAACGATGAGGATCCTATGGTTAACGTTTCTCATCTAGCCACAACGATAGATATCTATAATCACAGTTTTAGTCCAGCCTTTGGGACCTCGCCCTAAGGAACGGATTTTATGACGCATCCATAGCAGTGAGCTGTCATCGGTAATTAAAAGATTTCGTGAGTCTCATCTCCGTTCTTGTAATGTGAAAAGAAGATACCTCAATTTCAAGTTTGACTGGCTAAACTTTAAATTTGACCGGATTTTAACTTTGCCCAAAAACTTCTGGTTAAAACTAAAATATTAGGTTTGACCGGTCAAAGTTCAAATTTTAGTTTTGACGGAAGAATTTCTAGTCAAAATTAAAATTTTACGCCTGCCCAGTCAAAATTGAAATTTCAGTTCTGCCCGGACAAATTTTAAACTTGACCAAATTTCAAGTTTGACCACAACATACACAAGAGAAATACACGAGAATGTAAGTATCAATCAAATAAGAAAACAAATCAGACTAGTTATTTCACTCGGCCGATTTACGTTTTCACAAAATGAAAGAGAAATGAAAAATAAAATGTTCTTTTGTGTTCAAAAAACACAAAACACTACCCTTTTTCGCGAATGTTTCTCATGTATATGTTTAATGACTAGGACATGCAAAAGAGACGTTTCAAAAAAACGTAAGTGAAGCAGTCGCCTCTTGTGGTAGTGTAATGAATGATAGTCCAAAAGAATGCAGGAAAGCGTCTGTAAAGCGGTGAACTTCGACAAAACGTTTCCTTGCACGGACATGTACAAAGAAGTTTTTCTTATGCAGATAATACATAGTAAATTATAAATGAAACACTACCCATTGGAACTTTTGGAAATTAAGGCAAACTAGTTTAAAAGTCTCATATTAAATTAACTCAAATTAAGTTTTTTCTAACTATAAATTAATTTGAATTACTTTACCTTGATAAATTAATTTGAATTACTTTACCTTGATAAATTAATTTGAACTAGCGAAAAATCTTGATTTGAATTAATCTATCAAGTTAAATTAAATCAGATTAATTTATAGTCAGAAAAAAATTAATTTGAGTTAATTTAATGACACTTTTTTATACTAGTTTGCATTAATTGCCAAAAGTTCGAATGGGTATGCGTATGTACAGCGAAAAAAACACACGAGAACAAATTTCATTCATTCTCATAATTTTCGTTTAAAACATTGTGTGGCATTGTCGAATACTATCTATATATAAGACACAACATGAAGTTTTCAAAAAAAGAAAATATAATACTACAGTACCACTCAAACGTCTGTTGACAGTTACTACTGGTGTAAAAATTTTCCGTACGGTTCAAAGTTTTTTTTGGTTTTAACCATAACTCAGCAGAGGAGTGGTCTTTCAGTAAACAGATTTCACCAAAAAGATCTCCCCATTCCTTCGAATATATTTGTCGAAAAAGAATATTTAAAATATTGGTTATTCTTGTCTGTAGATCGACATTAATGCTCGAATACCTTCTCTTCGGTACCGAAGAGCTGGAGAAATTGATTTTTTGCCCCGTCAAGGAAGTTTAAAGCTTTGAAAACTATACCAACGGAAAGCGGAGAAAAGACCTTTTTTTTATGGTAAAAAATCTTTTTACGGCTAAACAGCAAATAGTAAAGCATACAATCAGAAAGGTTTTCAGTTTAAAAAAGATCTTTACTATAATTGAAAAATCATGAGGTACTATCCGTTTTAAATTATAGTAGTTCAAGTTGTTTTTGAATAATTTTTGATAGGAATGAGATAGAGACTTGCCGTTACTTCCTTCTTTCACCATTTGAAAGAAGGAACTTACGCGTCATTCCTTATTCAATATTCATATCGTCTTACAAAGTCATATTCGGTCCCAAAATGTGTACTTTTACTTCTAACATATTCAATCGATAGAGTATTAGCCTTTCAAATGGTGAAAACGGCAAGTCTCTATCTCATTCTTTTCAAAAATTATTCAAAAACAACTTGAACTATTATAATTTAAAACGGATAGTATCTCATGATTTTTCAATTATAGTAAAGATCTTTTTTAAACTGAAAACCTTTTTGATTGTATGCTTTACTATTTGCTGTTTAGTCATTGAATTCACACTCAATTAGCTGATGATGAAAAACTTGAAAGCAATACCAAAATCTATCTGTGTGGTACACTTTGGCATGAAAGTATGAGTGAAATGGTGCTCATGTTAAAGTCGGTTATAAGGTTAGAAACATCTTCTTACGTTAAAAATACTTTTGTTATCAACAACAATAACGTTCTGTTTCATTAAAACAGAATGGATATCGATCAAAGTGCACGTCGTCAGGCCAGAGATGAATTTAAGGGTGTTGATCCAGATTTTTATGAAATGGAAGATAATTTATTATATCTAATATAAAGTCCAAGTTTGATTTATTTTTCATATTATAGCTCATGTCTTCTTTGATGATGCATTTCACACACACATAAAGATTTCCCGTGAGAAAAGCTGTGAAAAATGTCATATATTATCACGTTATAAGGCGCATAATGAGTTTTTGTTCATTACATAACGTGATAATGTGTACCACTCCATGCGTTACATAACGCCATAATGAGTGACACAGTAAAAAACAAAAGGCACTGAAAGCCCTAGAAGTAAGCCTGTCAGGCTTATGGGCTGCATCTGAGGCCTCTAGAGAATCTGAATGAAAACAATAAGTATCTTTCCTGTCACATAGCAACTTGTATTCTTACACAAACTACAAACTGATCGTTTCCTAAGATCTAAATATTAGAACATAATAAGATCACCAAATGCTAGAACTCTTCACTGTAAATCTTAACAAAATGATTAAGCTGTGAAGATCGTGTGAACGAGTTGCTTTGCGACAGGAAAAGGCTTTTTGAGTTCATTCAGACGTTATGGATGACTTTTATGTGCTCCAAAAACCTAACAGACCTACTTCTAGTAATTTCCATGCTTTTTGGAATTTGAAGTGAAACCGAGATTTACCGCAATTTTAAATAGAGTTCAATTAAAAGCTACAAGCGACGCTCTACAACAAACTGAAAATGGATCTCCCACTATAAGTAATGCTGAGCGACTGTGTCTTTAGGTTCGAAATAAGAATAACAGATAGTTTCACTTTTTGATGAGTGTTTGCGCATTTTATACACTTGCCACTCAGGTAACATTAGGCATTTGTATTGGTTTATGTCAATGGAAAGGCGATCAAGTGATATTCATTACAGACGTCATGTATTGAGAATTTAGTGAAAGTTTAAATTTTCAACGAATAACGTGACATATTTTAATCGGGTGGGTTTGTGGTGGTCATCATTATTGCATATTTTCGCTCCAATTTCCAATCGAATTAAACATGAAAACGTTTTTAGTACAGATTTTAAATCGACAAAATGTAAACATAATTCAGTGACTGCAAGACAAGTGAGATGATGAATGAAAAGTAAATAAGTCATGGGCACATAATCATCGAACAAATGATAAAGACGAAGACAATGTAATTGAGGTACTTGCAGTAATAATTTAAACAGATGTTCGATTTACAAAAAGTGAAAAAAACATGTATGAAAGAGAGGAGTAACTTGTTTCTCTAAAATATGAATCGATCTCTTTTGTACTACAGTCTGTGCTTTCAAAGTCATTTTGTTCCATCAGACACTAGTTTAAGAGGTTGCAAAACTGCTCCTTCT